TAATTCATAATATTTAGATTAATATTTTGTGTGGTTAATTTGAATGTCAACTTTTTCAAGATTTCTCGTATAATTGTATGAAGACAGGAAACATTAATTTTGCAGGGTACTGTAAGAGGCAGTTGTTAACTAATAGGATTATCCGGATATGACGTTTCAAGATAAATGCCAGCGTATTATATGCGACTGTATCTGTATTTAGATTATAGTCGATGACCGGATGTTACATTGGTATAAAATTAATCCCATTGGTAGGAAAATTATTTCCGATTTTATATTTTGCTAATGAAACCAATCGGCAGCTTGATATTTGTATCGAACGTAGTGTGCGTTCAAGCGTATATTCGAACATACCATTCCTGTACCATATTCTCATGAAAGTGCGGAACGTTATTGGGAAGTCATGGTTAACACGTAGCCGGTGTTCAACGTGTCTTAGAGTCCTAGCCTAGGCATAGTGATTTGGTAATTTGTTGCAGGCTGCTTGATTTGCAACGTATCGAATAGAAACAAATCTTAATATGTTTGTGGCAAATGTCTGTTAAAACATAACGGAAATATTTTCCATTATATTCATAAATTTCAAGAAAATATGTTGTCAAATAGATCATCCACGACAAATACTAGGAAATATATGTTCTCCGATAAGAAATCGACATCTAAGCAAATGAAAACTTCTACATTAACAAATGCTGCTGGCCTTAGTTCTCTTATTACCTTTACTGTTTTGCTACTTGCTTGGATCTCAGGATTTGCCTCTCGGTTATTTGCAGTAATACGTTTCGAAAGTATTATACATGAATTCGATCCTTGGTACGTATCTTTATGTTATTATATTAGAACGAATTATAATTTAATATTTTTTAGTGTAAACATAATTTAATTAGGAAATTAAATTAATTTTATTAAGTATAGTTTTGCACTAATTTTCTATAAAAAAAAAAGCAAAGGAACAGTAATTTCTTTTATAATATAGGTTTAACTACAGAGCAACAGCATATATGGTACAACATGGATTTTATAATTTCTTAAATTGGTTTGATGAAAGAGCATGGTATCCATTGGGTCGTATTGTGGGTGGAACAGTTTATCCTGGATTAATGATAACATCTGGATCCATACATTATATATTACATTCTTTGAATATTCCAGTGCATATAAGAGACATTTGTGTATTCTTAGCTCCAGTGTTTAGTGGCCTTACTGCCATTTCTACATATTTATTAACAAAAGAAATATGGAGTGCTGGAGCTGGTTTATTTGCAGCATGTTTTATTGCAATTGTACCTGGTTACATTTCAAGATCTGTAGCAGGAAGTTATGATAATGAAGGCATTGCTATTTTTGCTCTGCAAATTACATATTACCTTTGGGTTAAGTCAGTTAAAACTGGTTCTATTTTTTGGGCTTCTATGACTGCTCTGTCTTACTTTTATATGGTATCTGCATGGGGTGGTTATGTTTTTATTATTAATTTAATTCCACTCCATGTTTTTGCATTATTGGTCATGAATCGATTTAGTAACCGGCTTTTTACAAGTTACACTACGTTTTATATTTTGGGACTTTTATTAAGTATGCAAATACCATTTGTTGGTTTCCAACCGATAAGAACATCAGAACATATGGCAGCAGGAGGTGTGTTTGGCCTATTAATTTTTGTGGCAACTCTCAGGTATGTTGATCTAATATATTTTTGCTTTGGTACACTAAATATTTCAACATAAATTGTTATATTATTATAGATATTTAAGAACTGTACTTACAAAATCTGAGATGAAATATTTTGGAGGAGTGGTTGCAGTTACAGCTGGTATGCTTCTGCTTGTTTTGATTTGTTTAACCTATGCTGGTATTGTTGCACCTTGGAGTGGAAGATTTTATTCACTATGGGATACTGGTTATGCAAAAATACACATTCCAATAATAGCATCTGTTTCTGAGCATCAACCTACAACATGGTTTAGCTTTTTCTTTGATTTACATATTCTTGTTACAACGTTTCCTGTTGGCCTTTGGTATTGCATTAAACATATTAATGATGAACGAGTTTTTGGTAAGATTTCAGAATGAAATTGTTAATTAAAGTTATATAAGCATTATTAATTATGATTATTTTACAGTTATATTATATGCTATAAGTGCTGTCTATTTTGCTGGAGTAATGGTGAGACTTATGCTCACTTTAACTCCAGTTGTTTGTATGCTTGCTGGAGTAGCATTTAGTGATCTTCTAGAATTGTTCTTTAAAGAAGAAGACAATGAAAGAAACGATCGAAGTAGTAATGGAAGTGAAGAAGAAAGTGAAGAAGAAAGAGAAAGAAGTCCTGGCAGAGCACTATATGATAAGGCTGGTAAACTTCGTAGAATGAAACATGAGAGACCTAGGAGCAATGGTGATGGATTGGGTGTTAATCTTCGAAATAGTGTTGTCATTGGTGCATTTATATTAATGATGATGTTTACATTGCATTGTACTTGGATTACAAGCAATGCATACTCTAGCCCTTCAATTGTTTTGGCATCATATAGTAATGATGGTGGTAGAGCTATACTTGATGATTTTAGAGAAGCTTATTATTGGTTAGCACAAAATACACCTACTGATGCTAGAATTATGAGTTGGTGGGACTATGGTTATCAAATTGCTGGAATGGCTAATAGGTATATGAACAATAAGATCTAAATAATTAATCATAGTTCCTTATAAACTAAACTAATATAAAATATTTTTTCTAAATATAGAACTACACTTGTGGACAATAATACTTGGAATAATTCACATATAGCTCTGGTTGGGAAAGCAATGAGCTCAAATGAAAGTGCTGCTTATGAAATCATGGCATCATTAGATGTAGACTATGTATTAGTTATTTTTGGAGGAATGATTGGATATTCTGGAGATGATGTTAATAAGTTCCTTTGGATGGTTCGAATTGCCGAAGGTGAACATCCACAAGACATTCGCGAAAGTGATTATTTTTCCGAGAAAGGGGAATTTCGTGTAGATTCAGAAGGTTCACCTACTCTCTTGAATTCACTGATGTATAAATTAAGCTATTATCGATTTGGAGAAGTAAAGATTGATTATCGATCGCCGTTTGGTTATGACCGTACACGTAGTGCAGAAATTGGAAATAAAAATTTCCAGTTAACATATTTGGAAGAAGCCTACACAACAGAGCATTGGCTTGTTAGACATAAATTACATATTTCTTTATCAAAATATAATTTTAGGGTGAAAAAGCCAAATGAATTTAATAGGCCTAGCATTCCCATATCTAAACGAGTTGTTACACGTAATACCAATTCATATGTCAGTAAAAAGGTGAGAATTTGATTTCATGCAATAAAAAGACAGCTTTTATTTTTGTTGAAATTTTAACCGTATCGTTTCTCGTTTCTCAAACTGTCGCATTGTGTAATTTTGAAATGTAGTTGAAGTTGTGGGGGGTTGGACATTAATGTTTCAGAGACCACGTTCCAAGAAAGGTTATGTAAAAGGCCGGCCAACTGTTATTAAAGGACAAAAACCTCAACGAAGAACTACGTAACATACATTTATTATCTAATTCATAATAATTTTCAAATACAACTTTTATAATAAAAAAATTACCGTCCCTTGGGTCTACCACAAACTATACCTCAAACTAAGAATTTAATATCATTAAAAGTCGAATCAATTGAAATATAGAATAAAAAAAGTTTCTAACATTTGAAGCAATTGGGACAATTTTTTTTATAAGAATAATCTATAAATATTTTCATTTCACTTATTACACTACATTCACTTGTTGATTTTTCTAAGATTACTAAATATTATCTATGTATGATTGTCTTACATATCGCTTAGGTAAAATATAATTTCCATATAATTGCAATATGTAATGCATTTTTATAATGAATTCACGTTATTTATAAAGTGAGACAATGATGTTTTCATGAATTTCAAATTTTCCTGTACTTAACTAGTCTATAACTTTCTGCTCACTTAATTATTCACTTTCTGCATATATGTTCACAAATGCAAATTATGGCTATAAGTGATTACATTATGAATTATCGATTGAAAAACCTGATAAAAAAATTAATGTATGAACTTTTATTATATCTGTGTAATGCACACTAAACATCAATAAGTAAAATTCACTAGTCAAAGTGAATAAAAACATTTATTGAATGTCAGGCAGGTGAGATCAGAGGGATTAAATATGTGTTATGTATACACAATTTATTGTATACTATCTTGTTGTAATCATTTGTAAGAACAAACTTGTCATTGAAAAGTATTGTACTATTTAACATTTGATTTTCATTTTTTACGTAGGACTTAACAATGTAAAAAGTTGAATTTTATGTAATGGAAGTACGTTTCTAAATGTGTCCTATTATTTTGTCTTTGTAATTTTTTTTGTTATTAATCGTGATTATGCTTTTCTAAAGTGTAATATGTTTCATACTTTCCATTCAAGTCTGAAATTTATGTTTTTGTGATTTACATTATAACCGTTTTCTACTATAAAGTATACTATTATTTATGGTATGTACATAATTCGATCTAATTACTATCCTTAGTAGACATATTTGTTTGAAAAATCACAGAATTATAGTTAAAGCAATGTTAAGTACACAAAGTAGTTGTGTACATGATCATTGTGTATATTTAATTATAAAGAGAATAAGGGAAAATATAAATGAAACAAGGTTGTAATACATATCACTGAGAACATTATTTTACCTTCTAAATGATATTAAGAAAAGTAGTATAGTTAGATTAAAATCATTAAGTATCCAAAATTCTTATATAATAATAAAGAAAATAAACTGGTACAGCATAAAATATAGCGTGAAGTAGTACTAATAAATTATGTTTACTTAGCATATACATATAGTATATACGAGAAAACAAAAGAATTTTTTTATGTAATTTGCATTAATTATTTCACGTTGTTGGATAAAATAAGACATTGACATTTAATAATATTTGAATCCAATTATTTTTCAAAGAACAATAGGTTATTTGTAATAAACGATCAAGCAAAAACAACTTTTTCAAAGAAGGCGAAACAAATCAACAGGTGGTCTTTCACAATATATTTCATGAATAGGTTATAGTCTTTTAAATGTCAAAATCAGCTGATCAGTGATAACAATTTTTTCAAGGTTACTAAGTTTACGAATTTTAATCTCTTTCATATTCGCTTGTTAATTCAAAAGAGGATACATAATTATTCGTCAGTTTAATAATTAAATGTTGCTTAATTTAAAATCTTAAAATACTATTGTTAAATATAAGAGTATGGTTTGGTTATATAGTACTATAAAAATTTCTTTTAAATTATAACTTCACATAATTATTACATTTCAATACTATACGTGTGTACATACAATTTGATTTCTAACGGACGTATAATTTGTTTCATTCGTATTATTTTTTATATGTGATACTTATGATGTTTTACGATATTTATATATAATCGTTATACGTTTGTATTATAAAATTGTATATTATATCTTTTAAACTATGTTAATTGCAATCGAAAATTTCAGATGTCATTTTTTAATTCGTTAATTGTCAAAAGATAGTATTATCTTTAGTGTTAGATTTTTCAAAAAAAATAATTTCTTACATTATAAATTATTTAACATTTGTTACAAAATTATGAAAAATGATTATTTGAAGTAAATTTTTTAGATATTTAAAATTTCATACTATTTATAAAAATAATAATCTAACCAATAACAAAATTTACTCTTTTAATAGTAATATTAAAACAAACTGTGTAACGTAATTATTTTCACTAAATAACATAAGGTAATGTTTTGTACATCACATAAAATATTAAAGCGTCATTAAGGAGAAATTATATATTTGTATAAACCAAATATACTTAAGTACAATGCAATGTTAAAGAAATTTAAATTAGATCATAAAATATATACTTCAAAATTGAAGAAATTAACCATTATCATACGTATGTTTTCATTTATACTATTTTATTTTTCAAGAAGTGAAAAGTGAAAATAAAATAAATCAGATCTATTATATATCTAAAAGAATTAAAAGGTTATGTCAAAGTGAATAACGAAGAGCATTCTAATCATTTCTAACAGGAATATTCAAAATCATGTAAAAGTATGTTTCTGTAAATTGTCATATAAAATTAGTTAACACTCAAAATAGACATAAAATGTTTGTATACCGAATTCATAATGATAATACAGTGAATTCAAAGATTTTTCGCATCAGAAACTGTTCGTGTGTGCAGCGTCCGCCATTTTGCTTCCCTTACATCTGACATGTCTTTCTAATGTTATTATCGATGAATGCTGGAATTTGTGCGTGAATCTTCAATTTCGTTGGAGTGTATTTTGCACGAAAAAGGTCGAATTGCTTCTGATTGGGCAACAACCTCCATTACTGTTGGGAGTAATTTCCATTGTCCCAACCTCGGTTAAACTAAACGAAACGAGTCCATAAAGGAAACTTCGTGAGAGTATTTGTGAATAGTTTACCCTTGTTATAGGGTATAAATATGCGGCAAGATTCATCTTATGAGTTTTTCTGACTGTATTATCGAAACTTGATTACAGTATTTTACACAGTGTCTTATTACCTATATAAGAAGTGAACATAACCAAACAGTGTTGATATCCAACATCATGTACTCATGTCAACACTAGAGATAAAACGCTTATTAATATGGCTTTGACTTGTCAAAGATTATCAGAACTCTTAGAATCAACATTCAATGCTTTGGTGTTTCATATAATGCAATTATTTAAAAATGTGTAGAGTAAATTTAATGTGAATTGCTATGCGAGGCAAGGATTGTTTTTATCCTGATCTAGCCATGGACTAAGTTCACGCTTACTGCTTGAACCAGGAGACCTTAATAATCATCTGATATATATTATGTACAAAAATATGCAAATTTAAACTTAGAGTGATACATAGCTTTAATCAATCTAGATATTATTAACTGCTGAAGTATTATTTGCACTTTTAAAACACAAAAATAAATTTTATTGCCATTTAAATATACAATTTTTTGTAAAGCTATGCTACAAAATTTGATACTAAATAATAGGTAATCAATTTTAATCTTTCTTCTAAAGCACAGTCCATGACAAAATTAAGTTTGTACATATGCAGATACATGTAAATAAGATAGCTAAGTGCACATTGTATTAATATTATTAGTATAAGTAGTGCACATGACTATTTTATAATTTATTATACTTTGTACAAAAATTCATTTTATTAGTTATATTATCCTGATGAATATATAAATATTAATGTGTCTAAAACAAATAAAAAAACAACAAACTGTGATATAATACAATAAAAATAACTTTTTATTCTTTTATTCTCAGTATTATGAATTCAAAAATATTTATGTATGAACTTGGATCTAGGCACATAGCGTGAACTAAGTTTTATCTAGATAGGAAGAAAGTTGATTTGGAGGGTTTGAGAATGCAGGTGGAACAGGAGACAAGGAAAACGGTAATCAATGAAGGTCCCTATATCCGAAAACTCAAACATGGACAATAAATTGAAGTTTTCGGATCGCTTGAAGGCTTTGCTGAAAACTGAGGCTCGTCAAGATGTCGATCCATATATTTTCAGTGAACCAGAGCCATTTACTACAGCAGCAGGAAGAAATGTTACAGTAGTGTCATCTAAGAATCCTAAAGTAATGCAAAATTGTAAAAATAGTAAGACTAAAGGAAAATGTATGAAACAAAGAATAAGGATAACATCCGTACCAGATGCGGAATTCAAAGCTGTACAAGATCGTGCTGTAGAATTAGACGCTGACAGTAGTGTTGGTGGTGGTGGCAGTGGTAGTGGTGATGGTGAACATATAGATTATAAATTTGCAAAAGCAATTCAACATAAACAACGTCATATTGAGAATTTACAAAGATTAAGATGTAGAAGGCAAAGTCGGGACCACACTCTATTGTATTATCCTAGAGCTGGAGATGAAATATCAGATAGTGATTCTAGTGGAGATGAAATGACAATTTATCAACATTATTGGTTTTCTGGAGAAAGCAGTTCAGCATTAAATCGTTCTGCACGTCTTTCTCAATTGCGTTCTCAATTGAGAAGAAGATTACTTCAATTACATAAAGGTGGGACAGACTCAGAAATTTTGTTACGTGATAGAGCTAGATTTTTGTTGGAAGCTGCTTATAAAGATCCTGCATCTACTGCAAGAGCTTTAGGTGGTTCTCCAGGTACAAGCAAAGTGGTAGATGGACCACTTTTAGTTGGTGGACTTTGTGGAGCTGAAGGGTGTCAACAGATATCTTTGCCCTGCACCCATCATTGTTCTCGTCACATAATGTTGAATGGAGATCAACTTTTATTTGAACATTGCACTGCCAAATTTAGTGATAATACACAATGTTGTATTCCTGTGTTTGATGTTGCACATGAATTACCTCTTTGTCCAGAACATGCAAGGAAAAGGGATAATTATCATCGTAAAGCCCAAGAGTCTAAACCAAAGAAAGCTCGTAAAAAACCAGCATCTCCCACAATTCCCAGGCCTAAACCAAAATCCAGGCCAAAGAAACGAAAGCGGCCTCCTGCAAATAAACTTGAAACTAAAGGTCCTACTCTAGTACATGAAGAGAGTCAATATTTGAATCAAATAAACTCTAGTGAAAATCAGACAAAAACTTTGAATAATTTGAATACTGTAGCACAAGGAAGTTCAAATTCTTCTAATTTAAATCTAGGATTAGGACTTGGTCTTGGAGGAGGACTTAAAGTAGATTTGGGAGATCATGAAGTGTTTCCTTCTCTAGATCCTGCAGAACATGATTTTGGCAATGTGCTCAACAACTTACCTGCTGATGCTTTTAATGATTTGTTCATTGGTAATTATAATGTTATGACTTTTATATTGTATATTGATATCAATTTGCTTATTTTATAGTTCAGGTTTTAATTTAACCAATTTTAACATGATAATTAAAATATAAACTGGTATACTTTATGAAGTATATTTACCCTTTCCAAAAAAAAAAAACATTCTGTTATTTTATTTTTAGAAGGCAGAAATGGCGAATATGAACCATCAAGAGAAGAAGAAGAAGAATTAGAACGAGCATTGGAGGCAGTAGATAAGGATGTACGTAATTTGGAAAGAATGGGGCAAACACATGGACTCTTAGAGCCTGCCTTATTGGCTCAACTTATGTCAGACATTGCTTCGTAGCCCCGTCTATTTTAATAACATAATAATTTGAAAACCAGTTCGCGTGTGTTCTTTACAATATAGAAAGAAATACTGTTTGTGTCTGTGCTGCTAAATGTAAGATTGTGTTATTGACTTTCGTTAAGTAACTATAAAAATCCAAGATAATGGCAGGGATTGACATACAGAAAGTAAAAAGAAATAGTAATTGTTACTAATTTAGTATAAATTTCATTGGGTACAATGTCATATGGCTACATTCATATAAAACAGATTACATTTTCTGTAAATATTAAAAATTCCATCCTTGTTGAAAATTAATCATAAAAGGATCATAATCTCGCCTTGATCTTTACACTGTATTTGCAATTTATTTGTAAATTATTTTGAGTACATTTTGAAAGTTCAGTTACAGTGTTGTAGTTGTAACAGAATGGCAAT